GAAGATTTATTTCGAATTAATTTTTTTGTTCCATTCAATGTTATGTTTTCTTTTATAATGTTGTAATATTAACTTAATAATATACGAATTCTCGCAGCGTTTCCAACAATATCACGAGAAGTTGTATCGAAATTAATGATAAGCGGTCTGTAAATAAGCAATGTCCACTAATGTTACCGTGAATATGTGAACAATAATAACATGTAATAATTTTTCTTTATGACCGTTGTTCCAATGAATCAATACACGAACGAGCGTTTCGAATAGTATACATAAATACATAATATTATTCGTGTAATATCGTGTGAAATATTACGTTAATACGTCGTTAAAACCGACTTACACCACTGCAGTAATATCGCAGAAATGCGTGTTCGGATTTTCGGGCACTATATTYGTTATTATTATGGTATATTGGTATATTGGTATATTATAGTATATTATTATAGTAGACAATACCATGGTATTATTATTATATTGTGTACAATGAGAAACATGACGTTTAATATTATGACTATGGAGGAGATTTTGTTTACACGCAGTTTATTTGAGATTCTGATAGTTGGAAAGTAATATCCCTTGAAAATTTGTTGCATTCTCTATATTATATTATATATACCTGATTCCGTGATTGAATTATCTACAATATTTCGGAAGTACCTACCCGCCTCTCCCAGCGACGGTCGATACTTTAAACTCGCAGTAATACCACGTACATTATATAGGTAATACACGCACCATATGTGTTAGGGTGTGTGTGTGTATAGGCAACTATGCGTCAGCCGTGGACCAAAATTGTTGTACTGCATTGAGTAGGAGGACAGATGAACTATAAATGCAGACGTCAAAAAATTAGCATCAAACAATTGATTTGATTTAAAAAAATATATATATTAAGGTAATTTCTAAACTTAAAAAATGYCGTGAAATATGCTTTGTAGTCTTACAAGAAACCGTCAACAGCAGCTATTTTCGGGTTTGCGGTACCTATAAAAGTGGAGAGTACTAAATTGATAATGGTAGTATGTATGTTGTGTGATGTGGTCATGTAGTATACTAGCCATAATCCAATAACTAATAAATAATGATTATTATTTTGATTAAACTTAGTAGTATAAACGACGGTATTAGGACCACCTCATTGTCGCTGTTATTAGAACATAATATGAAACACGTCGGTTTGAGGTACATTATGATTTTGTACTGAAATTATTTAATCTAGTAAAAATTTCTCTTTGAATTTCTGATTATTACATTTTTTGTTGTAATAAAAAATATAAAGGCAATGATAAATTATATCACATTAAAAAAAGACACTTTTAAATGGATTTTAATCAAGATAATTATTGCTTAATTTATACTCCTATTGTTTAACAACTCACGCTGTAAGTTGTTCTTCTTTACCCATGGAAATATGACTGAAAAAGACTGTCTCGACTCGATTTAAAATTGGGAGGGTACATTACTTGATACTTGATATGATTTTCAATCTTAAGAATAATTGACGCTTATGAAAACTCCTTCTGTCTGAAAAATAATTTAAAAAGAAACATCCTTATGAACGCGTTAACGTTTTTCTCAGAATAAATAATACAATGCAATTTTGTTATTTTAATACATATTTTAGTTAATTCTTTTAGTAACCTATACTTACAGGGCGATATTTTGTTATCGAAAAAGAGAAAATAATTATAAAAATGACATGATCTGTTAACTTAAAAAACAATTGTTTTCAAAATATATTATACTTACCTATATTTACTAACTAGTTTACTGTTTTGCTATTCGCCGCAATATAGGGAAACTGCATTCTTATACAGTTTTGCTTGATCATYAAAATCCGTTTTTGTTGTCTTTCAGAGGCACATGCCGAGATAGCCGGTGCTTCCGAGAAGTATCTGATGCTGAATAGTCCTCTGCATTTGGAATGTGTCGTCCAGCAGAGCCCCGTGGACTTGGTGTACATATTCTGGTACCACGACAGCCGAATGATCAACTACGACATCGATCGCGGTGTGAACGTCACGTCCGACTTACCGAACAAGCACAGTGCATTGTATATTGAACGCGCCTCCCGCGCTCATTCCGGCAACTACACGTGTGCACCGAGCAATGCGTTCCCTGCCAACACGGTCATCCACATTCTCAACGGTAAGTAAGATTATAGGCTACAGCTATGGTGCAATAAATACTTGCGCGTTATCTCCACAATTTGATATTATGTCGTCGATCCTTAACCATGAACATTTAACTCAGCACACCAGGTATTTTCGGTTGCAACTTGTTAGCTYACAGTCTATAATTTTTACCTGTAAAATCGGAACTCGTTTGCGCATACGGTTATATTAAATGTACAACTGGTTTGCGCACACGAAAATAAATATATTGTTTTATCTCGATGACAGATGAGCATTGATAATCATCGATAAAGAGTACGACAATGAAAACGAATGGCTCTTAGCAGGAAAAAATGTTTATAGAATCCAYGACGTCATTAGCATAGCCGATGAAACTATGATAAAGCGATCTATGATAACAGTTCATTATGTTCAAAATTATTTTGATCGATGTCTAGATTAATTGTTCTATTACAGAGTATACATAATGTAAATATTGAGTCGAAACTACTACATTTTGATAATATAGAAAGTAAACTTAATCTATTACTACGTTGTTAGTGCTGTATAATGTATGTGCTCTGGGTCAGCAAATACCATTATTGCTGATAAATATCGTTCCTGTAAATTTTAGATTCTGAGCGGAGTGATTTTTTTTTTTACTTTTAATGAACAAATGCAAATTGTTATTTTTGGTTAGTCACACAGTGTACATTTTTATATTAAGCATTTAAAGTTCAGATTCTAACAAAGTTTTTAAATTTGGGAAAAATGAATTTAAGCCACTGATTTTACGAAGATGTGTTATTTGGTGTGAAAAATATATAGAATAGTAAAAATCATTATAATTAATATTGCTATAGGAAAAATTATGAAATTAACTTAAAAGAAAATTTTCCATTGAAAAACTAAACATTGATAATATTTTCGTTATCACTGTTATCRTAAGTTTCAAGATCTATGAAGTCATGAAAATGTTTCATGCTAAGAGTCATTCGTCAATGAAGATCAAATTAAATATATACAAATAATGGGAAACTGTTATTACAGAAAATGATAGACACGTATATTATTTACCAATCATATTATACATAATATTATACTATAATTAAAATTAACACGCATCTTTAACCATACCTATGAATACATTAATAGACAGYCCTAAGTCTATTCAGGGGAAAGAAAAATGTATGTAAGTACTTTAATGATTTATTATTTATTAATAAACAAATATTAATATGCAAGGTATTAAACTATTAAAGTCCAAAAGATAACTATATGGGCAAACCAT